TGGGCCATTATATGTTGCCCCTCCATCAGGCAATGCGGGAAGGAGACCCAGGAGAAACAAGAAGCAAGAGAAGGAGGGTGCAAGGCAAAGGCTGAAATGGGAAGAGAAGCACAGAGAAAAGCCTCGAGGGGGTTTCAAAGGAAAGATTCCTCCGGAGATACAAAGCATAAAACGGATCGTTTCCCCCCCATCTCCCGCATCTCAACACACACTGAAACCCCTTCCGCTTCCCGGGGGCGGAGACTGGTCCAGGAAAAGGCGGAGAAAAGAGCGGGTTAGCTAGAAGGACCAAATGACCCTTCTCATTGGCTGTCTTCAGTTTGAAGATCCACCAATCGAGGTGGAGAAACAGGACGCTCGTTGATTGGACTCTCTCCCTGCCGGAACGAGCAGAATATACACAAAATACCATCCAGGGCAGGGAGAGGGCAAGCGGAGGCTGAGCTGGCATTAAAGGAGCAGAGGATCATCGCATCGTTTGCAGTGACCCAAACACCGACATTTTCAATTCTGACCATTAAAGAATGTGTTGTTGTAATGTGTATTTTTATTTTACTAAATCTATATGCCACTCATCTCACTATCCAAAGCGCTTCGGCTAGACAAGGAGGAATGGAATAGAATAGAAATTAGGAATGGAATTAGGAATAGGAATAGAATACAATGGAATGGAATTAGGAATAGGAAATAGAATAAATAGGAAATAGGAATGAAATTAGGAATATGATTGAATAGGAAATAGGAATGTAATTAGGAAATAGAATAGAATAGGAAATAGGAATGGAATTAGGAATAGAAAATAGAATAGAATAGGAAATAGGAATTAGGAATAGGAATAGAATTAAATAGGAATGGAATTAGGAGTAGAATTGAATAGAATTCTTTATTGGCCAACTGTGATTGGACACACAAGGAATTTGTCTTTAGTGCATATGTTGTCTAAATGGAAACTGATCAAGGAGAGATTTAACCTAGCAATAAGGAGAATTTTTTTGACAGTGAGGACAAACAACCAATGGAACAGCATGCCTTCAGAAGTTGTGGGAAGTTGTGTTCATCACTGGAAGCTCTCAAGAAGATACTGGATTGCCATTTGTCAGAATGGCTTGGGTGGGGGTGGTGTTGAACTAGTTAATTTACAAGGTCCCTTCCAACTCTGTTAATCTGTAAATCTGTAAAGTCATAGGTACTCAGAGCTCCCCCCACCAATATAGGGTTGAGTGGTACAGGGTAGAGTCTTCCCAGTAAAAAGGTGAAGAGATGCAACAGAATCTCAACATTATGGTGGAAGGAAAGCCTGATGAATTCAATAGGATTTATCTGAAGCAAGCAGTGCAAAGCATCTTTGGGTTTTAGTTTTTAATCCACACTTTATTTAATTTATTCCTTTTTAAAATCTTGAATGATTTAATACAGCTATTATTTTCAAGCAGAAGGAAGGGAATATAGAATTATGGTCCTGTGAGCTGAATCCACATCCTGCTCTTCTTTGGCATTTGGCTCTTCCCATCTCTTAATGATAAAGCTCTTTTGGCTGTATCAGAAAGGGAGGAACAGGTGGAATATTGTTGGTCATAGAGATGTTCATCCTAAGGTAGGTGACAGCAATGAAGCAACATAATTGCTCAAGACTGTTTCCAAGTTTACCTAAAAAGTTACACCAGGTGGCCATAAATATACAGACATGTACAAAAGGGAATGTATAGCTAAGTACCTCCCCCCCCCCTTTCCTGGCATGTCACCACCACCAAAGAGTAATTATGCAGAAGCTAAAAAAATGAGAAATTGTATCATTTACTTTAGTGAGGTACTTGTAATAAATATTATTTCCAATGAAGTTTCTTTTTTCTTTAAGTGGACTAATTTTAAAAAATCAATTATATAATGAATTATTACCATAGACATGTATTTGTTGTTCTTAGCAGCCCAATATATTATTTGAACGTGTATTATCTTTAGGACACATCTTAATGAAGTGAAGCAACTACTTGTATAAATATTACCCAAGCATAGCCTAAGGCTTGTGCAGTGTAACCAAGATACAAACATGAACTTTACTTGTTCAGAAACAAAACTGTCATTTCATATATTGTGCCTGTAATAGTTTTTGTCTATCTTCTTTCAAAATCTTTTTGTTGTATTTTTTAGAAGAAAGTAAGCTTGAGGAACCAGACTATCTTACTTGTAAACCAATTTAGAATCTTTTGTTTTAATCTGAAAAATGGTGCCTTCGTGTTTTCTAATTCTATGATTTCACAAACGTTATTTGGAAAAAAAGCACTAAGAGAAAGAGGGAATTACTGAATTATTTTGATTACCTTATTCATTTTTGGTTCACTTGGACAAGTGCCATTGCAACTTTAAACAGTCACTAAGAGAATGGCTATAAATTGAGAAACACCTATACATATTGTTCAGGGTTTTAATGTTTACAAGCTGCCCAGAATTTTCTTTAAAGCTCACATATTGTATTCACCTGGGGCTCTCTACTCATTAACTGAAGTTTGCATCTGAAACTATCTTTGCTGACAAATATTAATAATCCATTTAAGTATCTTCTGGAATGGCGCCTCCCCCCAAACTATGTGCTCTTTTTTTCTGATTCAGAAAAAATGTTTTTGTAACAAGTATGATTCTAAACTTTTAAAATAATTGTGAAGTGCCTTATGCCACTCTTTCTCTTGTGTTTATATTTTAAACTGCTATTATACTGTATGCTGGCTTTTGAATTTGGCCTGTAGAAGTGTTTTTCTTTATATCACTGGGAGACTATATAATGATAGCCACAGGAAAGAAATTTAATATACATAAATACACAATCTATTCTGCTACATGGGATAGCAGAAAACATAGTGGGCATTATAATCAGAAGCAGAAAAAAATATTACAGTTATCTTTTTAAGTATTAGCATTCTACAGAACTAAGAGATTCTTAACATAATGGTATTCAAAGAGGCCAATCATGTGAAATTTGAACAGCCTTCTCTCAATAAGACGGGAAGGGAAACAATATCATCAATCTCCAGTCTACAACAGAGTCCTTTCAGCAGTTCCAAGAAGGCTCCACACCCATTTGCACCACTCAGGTGACGCCGAGGACCTGGATAAACCTCCAGGTGGCCTCAACGACTCTCTCTAAAAGGACGCAAATGACCAGCTGCCTGCAAGGAATATAAATCCTTCCTTTCCCCACCATCCAGTCAGAGATGAAGAAGCTTCTTGGATGAGAAGTGAAACGTCTTCAAAGAATAACAAGAAAGTCCAGTTGCCTCTTGAAAAGCCACCTTTGGCATATCTTAATGGTAGCTGGGGAAATTATGAGAGTTGAAGTCCATACATTTTAAAGTTACTGAGGTTAAGAAAGATTGGTTCAAACATATTCACCATTTATATCCCTACTGATGATGCAGAACAGTCTGCTCCATGGCTACAGTGACTCACTCAAGTCTAATGAGTTTTGTGGTTTTCAAGCAACATGTTATATTAATCTGCTGAATTGTTTCCATCAATAAATTCAGATAAAATAAACTACAGAAGTCCTTGACTTACAACCTTTTGTTTAGAGGCCATTCAAAGTCAAAATGGCACTGAAAAGACCTGACTTATGACTGGTCCTCACATTTATGACCATTGCAGCATCCCACAATCATGTGGTCAAAATGTAGGTGCTTGGCAACCGGCAGGTATTTACGATGATCAAAGTGACCCAGGGTTACATGATTGCCATTTGTGACCTTCCTAGTTGGCTTCTGACTCACTTAACAACTGCTGTGATTTTCTTAAACCACAATGGCAAAAGGGTCACAAAAATCAGATGCCGCTCACTTAACCTTGTTCAGCAACAGAAATTCTGACCCCAATTCTGGTTGTAAGTTGAGGACTCCCTATATAGCTGCTACTGTACTGTGTGAGCTGGTGCCTGCTGAGACCAATAATTAACTAAGGAGATAATCAAGCCTTGCATTGTTCATGACTCCAGGCTTCCCATGTATAGAGATACTTGTCTTACCTGGAAGGGGTGGGGTTTGGGGAAACTAAATAACACACAACAAGTAGCCTTGTACAACAGTGTTAATTGGCACAATTTATTCAGGTTAGCCTAGTGTGCATTTTTCTTAAGATACCATTTTCAATTTTTATCCAAGCAGAACAAGTGTGGCCTTTCAAACAGTCTCCACAATAAAAAATTGGTAAGACTGTTCTTCGAAGCATCAGAACTTAATCGAGGTATTGGAGAAAATAAGTGCGATCTTGGGACATTTTGTGTCTCCTGTACAAAGCTAAACATGGACCTAAATATAAAGCTCCAGGACATGTAAAAATTCTATATGCATGCTAACTAAATAAGCTTGCTTCAGTGATCAGATTTTTGCCTGGTGGCTCAGCAAAACCTTGCTTCGTCCATTTAGAATTTCGGCAGGTGCACAGCTTGTGTTGCTTTGCAATCAAACATCAGCCACTATTATAAAGCAAATTATTTCCCAGGATCAAGATACGGGTGTTTAAAAAGTCTCCTCTCAACTTCTTTGTCACTGCAGTGCCCTGGGTTACATCTATATTATCCTTTATTTTTTCAGCTACTCTAGAAGCTCCTGAATAATTGAGGTGAGGAGGAGAGAGACTGATACAAACCCAGTCTCTACCTGTTCTCACTCTAATTGTACTCTATTGTAACCTGTCAGAAGAGAAAGCTGAACAGAGAAATCCACCCTTTTTATTTAGATTATTGTTTCTCAACAATCGTGGCAACTTAAAAACCTGTGGACTTCACTTCTTAAAGTTGCCAAGATTGAGAAATACTGACCCTAAATTTCACACCACAACCAAGGAAAGGAATTTGGAGATGAACTTGAGGCCAAAGAAGCCAATTCAATGCCAACTCCTTGCAAGGGTCAGGCCCGTTGAGTGAATGAGGAGCCAGGATTGCCCCCTGACCTAATCTATGTCTTAATTTGTTACTGGCAGATCAATAATTCTCTTTTCTTACATATTGGGCTTTGCATTTAAGCTGTTGGGCATAGCCTTAAACTACGTCCAACAGCTATTACCACACTCGGTACAACTATAAGGCCCTTCCCCCAGAGCCAAGTCATCTTGGTTGGGTTTTCGAGGGCTAGACCTCAGGTGAAAACCTTTACCACAGTGGCCGCAGATAAGAAGCCGGTCGCCTTCTTCTTCATCAGAGCTATTGATAACACTGGTATCAGCACACAAAGTATCAAGACCAGTCATGCACGGGATCCCAACGCTTCCATCATGGTGGCCCTCAATGCTACCCTCATCAAAAGTCGGGTCAACCTCACAGAGGAGGTCCTGGCTCATGCTGGGGCTGTGAGCGTTGGTGTGAGTGCGACGGTGGCGAATGATGTGTGAGCTGAGCCGAAAGCTCTTCCCACACTCGGTGCACACATAGGGCTTTTCCCCTGTGTGCACCCGCCAGTGGTCCACCAGATTAGAGTGGTGGGTGAACCTCTTGCCACACTCAACGCAACCGTAGGGTTTCTCACCTGTGTGGGTACGCCGGTGGTTAGCCAGCGTGGAACTTCCCGAAAAGCGCTTTCCACATTCCTGGCATTGGTATGGCTTCTCTCCGGTGTGCGTCCGCTGGTGGCGAGTAAGGCATGAGCTCCCGGTAAATCGTTTACCGCACACATTGCACTGGTAAGGTGTAACCCCAGTGTGGCCACGCCGGTGCAGGTTGTAGTTGGAACTTTGAGAGAAGGCCTTGCCGCACAATTCACAACGATAGGGCCGTTCCCCGGTGTGGAAACGCCGATGTTGGAGGAGGTTGGAACTAGCCGTGAAGGCCTTGCCACAGTCCCCACAGACATAGGGGCGCTCCCCAGTGTGCGTCCGCTGGTGCTTGGTGAGCGCCGAGCTCTGGTTGAAGCTGCGGCCACAGTCGTTGCAACGGTACGGCTTCTCTCCCGTGTGAATGATCTGGTGCTTGGCCAGGTTTGAGCGGCGGCTAAAACTCTTCCCGCACACGCCACAAGTGTTTGGGTGCAAAGAGGAGGACTGCAGGAATGGAGAAGAAAGTGTGAAAAAAGTTACACCTGTCTAGACCACCTATTTCTGAAATGGATGCTCAGGAAAATATGGCTTATTTGTGCCCCATCCCTTTCAGCAGTGGCATTTTTGCAAAATACAATGGCTAACTGAATTTCTACAAGCAGGGGCTTCTGCAGAGGTAAAAACAAGAATCAAGATGGTGGCCAAAATGGCACAATCAACTTTTTACAGGTAGCCCTCAAGTTATACTTGTGTTTCCCTGAAAACAAGACTGGGTCTTATATTATTTTTTGCTTCAAAAGAAGCATTAGGGCTTTATTTTCCAGTTAAGTCTCATTTTCGGAGAAATACGGTATTAAAATGTGTCCTTCTGGCTGACAATCCAGCCAGACGGGATAGGGCTTATTATTATGAACATCCTGAAAAATCATGTTATGGCTTATTTTCTGCTTGTGTCTTATTTTCAGGGAAACATGGTAGCCATTCATTTAATGACTATTCAAAATTACAATAGCACCAAAAAGTGACTTGTGACCAGGTTTTTACACTTAAGATTTTTATAGAATCCCTGTGATCATGTGATCAAAATTTGGACATTTGGCAACAGGAATGTATGATAGTTGCATTTGATCATATTTGGCTCTGATAAGCAAAGTCAGATTCTCTTAACATGTTGCTAACTTAACAACTGCAGTGATTCACTTGATAACTGTGGCAAGGAAGGTCATAAAATGGGACAAAACTCACTTAACAACTGTCTTGCTTATCTAGGGAAATTTTGGGCTCAGTTATGGTTGTAAGTTGAAAATTAGTCATATGTGTACCTGTAGCCACCATCTTGACTTTTGACTGGAGATGGGAAGGTTTTGAAAAAAAAATACAGAAAAATTGGGGGGGGGGGGAGAGAAGTTTTTTCCATTTTTTTTTCTGTTTTTTTTTTCCAAATGGCTTTCAAAAAACAAAACAAAATAGAGAAAAATGGGGGGGGGACTGGGTTTTCCCCTCAGGTCTTCCCAATTCTACTTTTGACACACATATCCCTTTCTGCCTCAGGGAAAGATGTCCCCATCTATAAGTTCATTTTTATTTTGTATTGTGCAATGGAAATTCAAATATCTTTGGTGAACAGAGGATTTGGGGAAAGAAGGTCAGGGATGCTACTCCAGAAACCCTCAAGTGGAGAATTATTATTTTCTTTCCTGTCACTTTATTTTAATTATCGGCCACCCAATTCCATCTGAGGTGGAGAAGCAAATTTTACAATTCCTTTTTCAATCAGCCCAGGAACTAATACTGCATGTGCTAAGTTCTGCCCAATATCCAAAATAAAAACCTTGGCTCAACTATTCCTAATGTGGGCCTCTCAAACGTTCATATATTGTTATGTGTGGATCAGCGATACCAGAGTTAGAAAATTCAAGATGGTAACTACAACTGCCCAATCAAAGCCCCACCCATTTTCAATGGGTCGTTTGAAAAGAGATGGCTTTGATTGCATTGTCGCAGCAACCATCTTGACATTTTTGACATCTCCCACAGGGATGCCTTTGGTCAGTATACAAGAGGCGGGTGAAGCTAGAAGTGGCTACTCCAAATCCGAGAGGCTTAGTAAAAAAAAAGTACAGTACTAAAATAACCTGAATAACATCAGCTTGGAATTCTGGAAACAGCAATCCTGACCCATCTTAAGTATACTAAGCTTGGAAGTCTGGTTTAAGGGAGGGTTTCCCAGTGCTACAGCCTTCTGAAGTGAAACATGCATCTGGCCAAATTCTCTTTCAAAGCCCTGTGGTAAAATATGCTGTGTGCGGCACATATGTGAACCGTGATACAGAAAGTTCTGGAAAGTCTGTTATGTATAGTGCTGAAGCATAGCTGCGGAACTACAAGTAGATTTCACCTTACATCAGTTCATTTAGCGTCCGTTCAAAGTTACAACGGCATTGAAAAAAGTACTTTTGACTATTTTTCACACTGATGAACATTGCAGCATCTCCCTAGGGCAGGTGATCAAAGTTCAGATGCTTGGCAACTGGTTCATATTTATGACGATTGCAGTGTCCCAGGGGTGATTAGTTTTTGTGGCCTTCTGATAAGCAAAATCAACGGGGAAGCCAGATTCATTAATTAGTAACCAGTTAATTGTTGCTAATTAAACAACTGTAACAATTCACTTAGCAACTGAGGCAAGGAAGGTGGTAAAATAGGGCAAAACTCATTTCACAAATGTTTCGCTTAGCAACATAAATTTTGGGCTGAATTATGATCGTAAGTCGAAGACTACCTGTATTTCATTAAATAACCAGAAAACCATGTAGTTGCAAAGTTTACCCAAAAAGCTATTGTCGGAGTATAGCTATAGACCTAAAGGAGAACCTCATATTTCCATGACTGATGAACAAATCTCGGGGCAAGTCCCAACAATTCCTCAAGGTGTAGAATCATAGGGCAGAGGTGGTATTCAGCCAGTTCGGACCGCTTTGGGCGAACTGGTAGTTCCGACAATCAGTAGGTCCCGCCTTATCCTGTCCTTTATTTGCTTTCTAGCTCATCCCAGTTGTGTAGCACAGCTGATTCCACTCCCCACCCCTTGCTGTTCTATTTACTGTTGCTGACTTGGAAGGTAAGCAGCTGAGCTTCTAAATGCTCAATTTTCAGCACTGCGCACAAGTGTTTTATGTGCACACTCACCGAACTGGTTGTTAAACCAGGAGCATCCCACCACTGTAATAGGGCTGAAAGAGATCTTGGAAGTCTTCTAGTCCATCCCTCTGCTCAAGGAGGCGGAGTCCTTAAACCATCCCATATCTCGGAAGTTCCCAGAATTGTACTTTACTACTCACCGAACCCTCTATTGGAATTGTGACTTTCTGCACCTCAAACTCTTGTACCTTCTGCTCCTCAGATTTCACCTTCATCTCTTCCTCAGTTGAGGAACCTCGTGAAGGTGCAGGACCCAGCTGGTTTGGGCAGAGACAAAACAATCTAAATAATAACCAATCCTTAAAGAACCTATTTCCTTACACGTCAGTTCTTCTACCCATCTAGTTAAACCTTCAATGTTTCTATCTTCCTTATCCCCACTCACCAGTTTTCCACCTGCAGAAAGTTCCATCTCAAATTCTGGATCCTCCTCCTCCTTCTTCTTTTCCGTCTTTACTCTAAGCAATCGCTTTTCTTCATTACCATGCACTCTGGCAGACAATCTGTCCCGGAAAGAGGATGAATCCAGCTGGCAAACCCAAAGGAGCAAAATGAGAGATTCAGCACTTATCTTTTGTCCCCAAACATAGAGATAGTTTGTTCAGTTTGTTCCCAAACAAAGAGAGAGACACAACATCTCACAACCAATCTCGGAAAGTGAATGTCAACAACATATTTCAGCTTACACGTTTGTCATGCAAAGGCAAACAAGAATTTACACAGGTGCAGTAACAGTAACATCACTAGGTTGCAAATTGCTCTAACTAAGTATCCACAAGGAAACCTCTTAGGTGAAACACTGCAATTTGAATGCTAAGTAATCAGCAAGTCAAGTCTGTGTTTTCTAGAGTTAAAATATGTTCCCGTTGCATTTCACAGGGAAGGCCATTTGAAATACCGAATGTGTTTAATATTGCAACTTCTAAAAGTCTGGTTTTGTTTCTTTCCGGCATTCATTTTCTCAAAACTGAGTGGTATTCAGTCATGCATAAGGCATTTGTCACCCTAAACCTAACCATACTTTTAGTAATCACGTTACAATCAAGAAAAATGTGCCTGTTTCAGATCCAGCCTGTTTTTTCAAACTTCAGGAAAAAAAACACACGACTTTGTCATGTTGGCTTTGTGCACCTTGATATCTTGAATTCTTTCCACTCCCTTCTTCAGTCTAGCACTCCGTCCCAAGGATTCCCATGATCTGCCCTCACCTTTCATCAGTGGTCCATCCATCTAAAAATACAGAAAGGAGAAAAAGGAATACATTAAAAGGTAAGGCATAGGTCCAAATTAGATATCAAAATATTCCCAAGAACTTCCTATATCCTACTCAGGTCTTCCTTATATTAGTAGTTGGATTAGAAAGAAATATAAAATGCTTGGCATTTTTAAACTGGGTGTGTGTGTGGGGAGATGTCTGGAGTTTGTGATTATTTATGTTGGCCCTGTCTTCGTCCAGAGCTTCTAGAACAGAGACTCCCTTGAACCAAATTTTTCCTGTGCTCTCCTTGTCCTCATCCATCGTGAATGCACAGACAAAAGTAAATGGCTTTTGGAGAGAAACAAGATTAAAAGAAATCTACCTCTTTAATATAATTGCAGAGTAGCAAGTAACTTGTCAACTGCCAGTCATCAGGTCCTGCAACAGCTCCATGAAATTAGTGAGGCCATAATAAAGACGGATACAAATCAAATCCATAGATAAATAGGTGAAATTTTGAGTGTAGCACTCAAAGCTTTCCCCAAAATTAGGTGTGTCCTTGAAGAAAGTCTAGATTTCTATTAAATCCTTAGCATAACCCTGGTTTCCAGGAAGACCATTGCAAGCATCTCCATGGTCATGTGATTTACATTCAGATGGTTAGCAACTAGTTCGTATTTATGATAGGGTCATGTGATTCCCTTTTCAACCTCCTGACAAGCAAAGCCAAGGGGGGAAGCCCGATTCCCTTAACAACTGCATTACTAACTGAAAAGTGGTTCCCAACCTTTTTTTGCCATGCCCCACCTAAGCATCTCTAAAATCCTGTTTCTCCCCCACCCACATATAATTCTTACTATTCAAAAAGTGAACTCTACTCACACGGAGGAAGACTAAAAGACCATTAGATTAGTTTAAACAAGGTTCAAATTGCTCCCATTAAAAATCAACACACACACACACACACACAGGGGTGTGGACCTCATGTTGGGAACCACTGACTTAAACAAATATAGCAAGGAAAGTTGCAAAATGGGGCAATGCTCATTTAGCAACATAAATGCCCTGCTTAATTGTGGTCATAAGTTGAGGACTAGCTCATATGTATGTATGTATGTATGTATGTATGTATGTATGTATGTATGTATGTATATATAAATAATATAATATATAATATGTATATAAAGAGAATCAAAGTCATGAAGGAAGGCTTCTTCCCAGAAGTTCAAAGAGACCCCAGATTGACAGGCGGAACTCAGGACTCGCTGCCCGCAGGCTTGGCTACCTGAGTCCCCAACACTCACCTGAGGGTTTAGCCTTCATTCCACATCTGGGGCGAAGTGGGGGGAACGATCCACAGCAACAGCTGGCTTCTCCGACCCACGTGTGCGGCTTTTCTTCCCAGCACCCGGAGATGCGGGAAAGCTGGGACCCGGAGGATAGGTGGGCTGAAACCGGGGGAGACGGGAGGGCGAGGGAAGGAGATGGGGACCACTCGGGGGAAAGAGAGGATGTGACCGACCGCTTCCTGCGGATCCGGCTTGCCAGCCCGTTCAACCGGGCCTCTGCCGGGGGAGGAGAGGGGAGGGAAAGGAGGGGAGGGTATCCTCGCAGATGCTGGGGAAGAGGGAGGGAGGAGAGCCGGGCAAAGAAGACCTGAAGGATTCCCTCTCCCCGCTCTCGGCAGCCGCCCCCAAAGCCCGCGCGCGGTCCGCTCTCGGGGCGCTTCTACGCCTGTCCTTCCGAAGTAGCGACCCTTCTTCGAGGAAATGGGGGGGAGGCTCCGAGGGGACAGCAGGAATGCTGGGCGGAGAAGAAGTGAAGGGGGGGCTGACAGAAGGCGGGCGCTTCGTGAGGATTGGCTAACGTGGCCGCCCCCCCCCTTTCTCCTGGTTTGTAATTGGCAGAGAAAGAGTGAATGGCAGCGGACAGAGAAGAAGCGGCGCTGGAGAAGCGCCGACCTGAGCAGTGGGTTGGACGCCCGAGTTCTAGTTCCGCCCACTCTCTCTCCCCTTCCTCCACTAAGCCCTCCGAGAGCCGGAATCGCGCCCGTTCATTGGCTGGGACCTCCCGGTCGCTCTAACGGAACGCGCGGCTAGAAAAAAACGGCGGAGGGGGGGGGGTACCGCCGGGGAGCTGTTAGTGGGTCGGCATCCTATTAGAATTAGAATACAGTAGAATAGAATAGAACAAAATAGAATAGAATAGAATTTCTTTATTAGCTTAGTGTGATTGGACACACAAGGAGTTTGTCTCTGGTGCATAAGCTCTCAGTGTGCATATAAACAAAAAATGATAAATCACGATCATAAAATACGATCATCATAAATCACAAGGTAAATGATAAGGAAAGTTGAGAAAGAAGCAAGGGATTAAGGTGGGAAAAAGCTGCCTGGAAATTGCTGGTAGGGAGCAGGACTGGAATCTGATTCTCACTGTTGTTTTCCATAACATGTGGGGTGTTTGGAACAGGCTGTGAAGCCACATTTGCACTGCAGACATCAGGATTCATGCCTCTAGTACAGTGTTTCCCAAACTTGGCAGCTTTCAGACATGTGGGTTTCAAGTTCAACTCCCAGGGTGCTGAAGTTCACATGGCTTAAATTTGAGAATCGCTTGCTATTGAGGTGATCAACTTACAGCTGAGAAGTAAATGCCTTTTACTGTTGTTGTAAGTAGTGGGTTCCTGAAACTAAGGCTTCTGAAATTGTATGTGTAATAAAACACAAATCCTCTCCTTTTATAAATTCATTAATGTAATTACAGGTAGTTCTCACTTTATGAACACAATTGAGGCCAAAATTTCAATGGCTAAGCAAGGGAGTTCAATTTTGCTCCATTTTACAACCATTTTTGCCACGGTATTAAACAAATCACTGCAGCTGCTAAGTGAATCATATGGCCATTAAGCGAATCTGCCTCCCCCCATTGATTTTGTTTATCAGAAGCTGGATGGGAAGGTTACAAATGGTGATTATATGACACCAGGCCAGTGCAACTGTCATAAATACATATTAGTTGCCAAGTGCCTGAATTTTGTTTCTGTGCCACTGTAACTTTGAACGGTCACTACCTGAATGGTTGTTAAGTTCCTGTATCAGGAATGGTTTCAAACAATTCACAAAGTCATCCCGACTGTTTTCTCACACTGTGCTAGATTAAGGGCCCGTGTGAAACAATGTGATTTGTGAAAATACCACAATTTTTGTCCTTGTAGCAGATATCCCAAGGCTAGTATGCAATTTGGGATGTGCTTCATTACGTCCTCCCAAATATGCTGTCATTTTGATGTCACTACCATATGCTGTGGATGCCACTGACCTGCCTAGAGCCCCATCCTCCAATTTTCCTCCACTGTAACAACTCTGTAAGGGAGGGCAAGAAAGAGAGGCCAAAGTCACTCAGGGTGATCATCTGTGGAAGGGGGTGAATTTAAACCTGGTTCTCAGAAACTTAATTCTATAACCCTGTGTTTTTCAACCTTGGCCACTTTTAAGATGTGTGGACTTCAACTCCCAGAATTCCGCAGCCAACAATAGAATTCCAGGAGGCTCACATCCCAGGGCAAAGTGTGGTTCAGAAACATATACTACCTTCCTGGGAATCTGTAGCAATTCTCAGTCATCCAGGTCATGGTTATCTCAAAGGTGCTTTTTCAGGAAGCAACTGGATTGTCTTGTTTTTCCTTTGAAGACATTTCGCTTCTCATCCAAGAAGCTTCTTCAGCTCTGACTAGATGGTGGGGAATGGAAGGATTTATATTCTTTGTAGACAGCTGGTCATCTGCACCCTTTTTAAGGGTCATTGAAGCATTTGGATGTTTATCTGTGTCCGCAGGGTCACCTGAATAGTGCTCCTGGTTCCTGTAGTCTGAAATTTTTCGGGAAACCTGTTCATACTCCTACACCATTTGAAGGGTGTTCATCTCAAATTGCAGAGCTAAAAGTCTGTAGCTGAAATTACTGGTAGTCCTTGACTTGTAACACTTTGTTTACTGATTGTTCAAAGTTGCAACAGCATTGTAAAAAATGACCTATAACAATTTCTTCATAATTACAACTGTTGCAAGCATCCACATAGTTGCATGATCAAAATTAAGATGTTTGTCAATTGGCATATATTTATAACAATTGCAATGTCTGGGGTCACGCGATCACCTTTTGTGATCTTCTGACAGTCAGTGACGAAACCAGATTCACTTAACTGTGTTACTAACTAGGGCAAAATTCACTTAACTGTTTTGCTTAGCAATAGAAATTTTGGTCTCAGATGTAAGTCAAGAACTACCTGTACAGAAGCCTGAAGAAATTTAAATAGAGCTGGAAGGAACCTTGGGGGGTCTTCTAGTCCAGCCCCCTGCTCAGAAGCAGAACCTATACTATTTCAGATAAGTGGATGGCTAGTTTCTTCTTAAAAACCTTCAGTGATGGAGCACCCATAATTTCTGGAGGCAAGCTGTTCCACTGGTTAATTGTCCTCAATGTTAGGAAGTTTCTCCTTAATTCCGGGTTACTTCTCTCTTTGATTAGTTTACAACTATTGTTTCTTGTCCTGCCTTTAGGTGCTTTGAAGAATAATTAGACCCCCTCCTCTTTGTGGCAACCCCTCTAATACTGGAATAATGCTATCATGATAGAATACTATTATTCTATTATTCTACTACTGTACTAGAATTACTGGGACATAATAATTTGCTATTTAGCTTCTGTAAGAATTAGAATTGCCGCTGCCATTTGCTTCTACCAGTGATCTAACTCCTGTTATCTTGTTTTTGTGTACAACTCAGTGCCTGGTGCGGGGTATGTCATGGCCTGGCAGGGTTATATTGGGCAAATACCTGTGTTGCTAAGCACTCAGCCCCCCTGTTGCTAAGCACCCAGCCCCCCTGTTCCTTGCTGCACGGCCAATGCAGGGCTACAAGGAAGGCATGGGGGCCCGGAATGGGGTACTAAGCAGATGTCTCTGAAGGTATAAAAGGACACCATATCTTCCCCTTTATATCTTTACTGCATGTGATTTATTTGTATGTTGTGTAATGGTACACCCACCTCTTCTTTGTGCAAATAAAAACTGTTCCCCCCCCCCAGCCTCTTCTTGGGTCTCTTCTTTGGCATTCTGATGACTCAACTACATTTTGGGACCTTACAATGTCCCTACATTGTACATTACAATTACATCCCTAATTCTTCTTTTCTTTAGCATAGCCAAGCCCAAATCCTGCAGCCCTTCTTCATGTTTATATTCGAGCACTATAATACAATATTCAAGTACTCCTCACCTGCCTTATCAGCATTATCTCTTTCCTCTGTTCCCAGGATTGGCCATTTGGCCCCCTGTTGTGAAGGGCACAGATCAAAAGTGAGAGTTCTTAGGCAGAAGGCAGACATATCAAAGGTGTCAATTTTACAGCTCTTTACAGCTCCATTCCGGGATAAATTCTATGCCCATAGATTGCTACTCATTACAAATACAAGGCATAATATATGTGTGTTACAGAAAACAAATGTTTCTATTAAAACCAACAAGTTTGTATCCTTATTACTATTCCCTTTCAATAATATATGATTAAGATCCAACTCCTCCCCCGCACCCCTTCGTTTTCGTCCATCGGCTCCAGCGCTTAAAATCTTCTTTGAAATCAAGCTTTCACTTCCGTACATAGTCATCTGGGTCACAAATAGCAACGGAAACGAAAACGCCTTTCCAAAGAGTAAAGAGGTTTGGAAAGCACTGGCCCTTTAAATCTTCACTTTCTGGCCTCCCCTCAAATGGCGGCGCCCTAAACGGTGCCATCTGAATCTGCCTTATTCCAAAATGGCTACCGATTTTTGATGGAGTACCTTATTTTGATAGCCTGTTTTCTTGCCCACACTCAAAATGGTGGGCCTATTGACTTCAACACTACGTTGACCCGAACCGAGAGGGCAGTTACAACGTCGTTTTATTTTTTCCCCGTTTCGGCCATTGGCCCGGAACTCACAAGGTTCATCCTGTGAATAATAATAAAAAAAGCAGAGGCCTCTGGAGCCGAACGAGGCGCTGCCGGTGACGCTACCGAAGTGCGCGCCCCTTAAAAAAGATGAGTGCGAGATAGTCATATTTTCACTGGTAGCCGGGAAATCAGTTTCGGAAGAGGGTGGTGCAACTAAATTGAAATGGGTTCTTTAAAGACTTTACTAGATTTTAAAACTACCCATTCTATCTCTAAAAACACGCCTCCTGAATCCCCAGTACCAAAAACGGACCCGCCCTTCCCGACCGCGCTCTTCGGCGCCACATAAAGGCCTTGACGACAGATGATCGCCGTTCTTGCCCTAAGTAATGATGGCGATTCCTGAGCCGCCGCTTGAGTAAAGAAACAGGAAGCCATTGGCTGCGGCAGAAAATAAAGCCGGCCGCTATTGGACGGCCGGGATCCGGAGCAGGATCCGGCCGGGCCCATGAGCTGATGAGAAAAGAGCAGAGGGGGGAAAGGAAAAAGGGGTAACCTGAGGGATGGGGTCGTGTTTCCTCCTCCCCCCCACCGACCCCCGTCCTCTCTTTAGCGACGCGACTGCTACCACTTCCCTGCGGGGGTTGGAGGTGAGATATTCCCCCGTGGAGTATGGAGGGTGGGGGTGGGGGGTCTGCCTGGCGGATGACCCGAGAGGAGTCCTTGGTGGGAACCGAAGGCAGCTCCTCCTGCTGTTTCACTGGCAGCCGGGCATCCTCGGCTCGCTTCCTGGGCGACCGTCAAGCATGGCTTGTATGCCGGGCGAAGGAGGGTGGGTGGGTGCGGGGTGCCCGGGTGGAGGGACCTATGAGATTATGTGTGCGCGTCCCTTCTGACAACTTCTTGCGTAGGATGAGGTGCGCAAAGGCTGCAAAAACGAACGTGCCTGCGCCCCAGCCCCGTCTTTTTCAAGCTGCTTCAAGCCTAGCTCTGAGTTACTATGCCTCCTTCTTTCTCCCCCCTCTTCTTGCTTAATAAGCTTTATTTATTTATTTAGTCAAACGTATTAGATAACATATATACGTATGAACATGATTTTGGATACATGAAATGGATACGAAGAAAAGGGAATATTAGGACAGGGACGGTTGGTGCACTTATGCACGCTCCTTACAGACTTGGGGTGAAAATGGTTGGTAAAAACTGGTGCCAAGAGTCACACAAACACAACTGAGGGATTCTGGATGTGTTATCCCAGCCAAGTGATTCAGAAAGTTAAGATTGGGGGTGGGGGGAATCCGTTAGTGGAAGAATGGGATGGGAGAAACTTTGGACTGGCTGCTTCCTTGCTAAATGGAAACTCTGTAGCAAAAAAAATCAGGATGGACATTTCTTTAAATTATAACATTGTAGCAAGACTGGCACTCTTTTGGCCTCGAATTTTAGCCTGGAGGGACTCATTGACATGAGTTATCTTGATTTTCATCCTGTCCTCTAATTTGGCCTTTGCTGTTTCTCCTACAAACACACAACTTTTCCAAACCCCCTTTTTATCTATAATGGGGAAGAAGCGAAAGGTGCAAGTTTACAGTTAAGTTAAGAAAAAGAGTGGGAAAATCAAGGTTGTGTTTCTGCATGTAAGGGGGGGGAAAGTCTATTGTTCTAAGGTTTTTTTAATTAAGGCCAACTATTTTTTTAGTTTTTTTTTTTTTAAATTAAGGCCAAACTAGGAAAGAGTATGAAAACTTTTCACTTCATAGGAATTTGTCATCTGCCAGCTTGGTGGGAATAGGCTGAGGTGAAAGAAACCTTGCCTTGGAAGTCTAAGGAACATGAAAGCTGCTGTACTATTTTGTGTTTTTTTGCGTGGTGGTGATACAATTAACGTCCAGTTTTGGATTTTGTCATGTAATAACTCAAATTGAGCTGCAAATGTTAGTCTGTCATGTATTGCTGTTGTTAAAAGATGTGGAGTGATGGGGGGAGGATATGATTTCTGTCCTGGTTTGATTGCTTTAATATAGTACAATGCTAGTATCCACTATATAGGGCAGTCAGCTTGATGTAGTAGCTAAAGCAATAAACTATAAGTCATCAGGCTAGAAAACAGGTGATTCAAGTCTAGCCTACCCTCAAAACGATGCTATAGAGCACTGCACACCAAGAAAACTAGACAAAAGAATAGTTTTTCCCCCGAACGCTATCACTCTGCTAAACAAATAATTCCCTCACCGCTGTCAGACTATTCCATAATGCTGCATTACTATTAGTCTTCTCATCGTTGCTATCACCCATCTCCTCCCATTTATGACTGCACGGTAGTAACTTTGTTCCTTGTATCCTTACGATTTATATTGATTGTTTCCTGATTGCTTATTTGTACCTTATGATTATCATTAAGTACTGCACCTTATGATTCTTGATGAATGCATCTTGTGTTTTTATGTACACTGAGAGCTTATGCACCAAAGACAAATTCTTTGTGTGTTCAATCACACTTGGCCAATAAAGAATTCTATTCCTACTCCTATTCCTAATTCCATTCCATTCTGTTCTATTCTGGATATTTTTGGCCTAGTCACTCACTCTCTCCGCCCTAGAAAGTGGGCAGTGCCAAACCACTTTCAAAAACCTTGCCCAAAATACTGCTGACACTAGTCTAGCCAGTCACCAAGAGTCCAAAACTGTCTTAAAATACACACACACACACACACTGTACAGAGGAATCTTCTGACATGCTGGGAAAACTTTTTCTATCTCAGTTTTTTTTTATCCTGCTGTGGGAGAAGGAATGGGTCTTAGCATATGATTTAGATCAGTGTTTTTCAACCTTGGCAACTTGAAGATGTCCGGACTTCAACTCCCAGAATTCCCCAGCCAGCGAATGCTGGCTGGGGAATTCTG